GAGGTGGTGGATGCCCCATCCCTAGAAACATTCCAGGTCAGGCTGGATGGGGCTCTGAGCGAAATGATCTAGCTGAAGATGTCCCTGCCCACGACAGGGGGGTTGGATGAGATGACCTTTAGAGGTCCCTTCTAACCCAAACTATTCCATGATTCTATGAAGCCATGTGTTCACCACAGCAGATGCTCAAAAATAGCAATGCTTGTATATAATATAAGTTCAGGAGCTGTTCCCTTCCAGCTCCCACACTGCAATTCATCTGGCATACTGTGCACTGTGTGTACGGTTGGGGTCTGTTCTATACCGTGAGGGTATACAGTAAGTTGTTTTCAGCTGAGTTCATGAATGAAGCTGCCTGTGTCAGGGACTAAAATTGCCCTGCTCTTAATGGTGGTGTTGTGCATAGATAAAGTGTATGTACATCACAGAGTAAGGTAAGATTAGAAAAAGGATGAGCACAATATTTTTTCTTAATCTCAGGCTTTTGGACAGCTTGATTTAACTTTTGTGACTTAGGTCAGAACTCTCAAAGGAGTAGTTGGGACTGCTGGTGAGTATAACTTAACATGCAATCATATGCAATTAGTCATCTAAATACTGTTTAATTTGTGACTTGGTTACCTTGTAAGCTTTATATTATGCTAATCATGCTTCAGCTTTGACAATCTGTCTTTTATCACACCAACTCATTGAATATACAGCTGCTGCAATCTACTTGGCTTCTGTTCAGAACCACAACAATCAAGGATGGTTTGTCTTGAGCCTGCAATGTGCATGCTTGTGCAAAGGTCTAAGTTGTACGCTTGTGCAAACTGGAACACAATCTAAATGCCTTCTCTCTTGGGTTGAGACAGTTCTTTGGCCCTTACCACCTTTTTATCATGAGTTACTGCTGTTTCTTTCTGAAAGGTTAGTACTTCTCTTTGCAAATTTGATGGCTCTTACCTCGAGACTGAATGGAATTTGAGTGACTTCTATGCATTGTACTGATACTGTTTACATAATTGAATTAAAACTTTGTTTTCTTCCTTCCACTTTGTTGCCACAATAAATGTAGCAAAACTCATTGTATGAGCACATAATACAGAAGGGGAAGGTGCTCTCTGTTTTAAACAAAACTGATTTCATTTTCTCACAGATACCAGGATTACTTGTGGTGGCATGGAGAACAAGGACTGCTAGCTATCACATCCTCATCTTGTCTCCCTGGTTCTTGATTGGTGCCAACGCTGCGTGATCCCTGCAGCCTTTCTGTTTTGACAAAGAAGGCTCAGGGCCAGATTGAGTTGTAACATACAGTAGTTGCTTTGCATTTGTGGTATGCTCTTATCCATGGTGTGGCTTTGATGCTGTCAGCACTCCAGGCAGCACTGCCAGTTCTTTGCTTTTACCTGTGTTTGTTCTTGGCTTTTGTGACTGTTCTTGGTCTCTTGACTTACTGCACGTACACTGCTCGCTTAACTCCTACTCAGTCATTTCTTCTGGTGCACAAATGTTTATGCTCCATGTGCTCCAATGTAATGATTCCTTTACAGAGCAGTTTTCACCTGTGACCTTTTAATACTCGTTTGCTTCTCTGAGAGAAGGGCGGGATCATTACAAAAAAGGCTATAGTTAGGCCTGCTTTTCTTTGAATCCCTCTGTTCCCCCTTGCATTTCATACTCGGTTATGTCAGCTTCATCTCTGAGGTAAGGTATTCTCTCCACATGGCTGTAATAAAATCACAGGATAAAACAGGGATAGGTCTGGATGTAGCTGGTCAGGCTGAGATAGAGAAACTTCTCAGAGAGGTAAACTGAGTGCTTTGAACACTTTTGGCAGGGTGTGTTTTGACATAACACTTTGCTGATATCCAGTAGTGTGAGGGGCTGGGGAAAAGACATGCATGGCTGCAGTCTCTTTTTGGCTCCAAAATACAGCACTGCCTAGGAGAACCTTCTGTTTATTCTAGTCTTCCCGAAGACCTGCTGGGAATTAGATTTGTTCCTCCTGTAGCCCAGCACCACTACCAGGAAGGCTCCAGAAGCAGCTCTGTTCTTGCTAGCTTGAGAATTCTGCTTGGCCAAACTTTGTTCATCGTATAATGCCAATTTCTCATTTTCAAGCTTCCCCAAGTAAAGCTGGAATAAAATCTCAGTTTTGATGCTATTGAACTAGCCTCATATCATCTCTGTGGTCAGTTCTAGTATTTTCTCTTTTTTTTCCTTCTATTTGTGAGCAACTTATTCAGAAAATTTCTATTTATTTCCTTTTAGAAACTCTTATTCTTTCAAATGAAAGGACAAGGGTGTTGAGCGGGGAGGGTTCTGTCTCTTCCCTCCAAAGAATCAAATCCACAGGCAGGCAGGTCCTGCACGAGGATTTTCTGAGAGGATTGATGTGTGGTCAGCGCAGAGGCCATCAGTGTTGTGACCGCTTCCTCTAGTGCTGTTGGCTCAAATTGTGCCCAGAAACCTTCACACTAACAGCATTCATTACTGTGATAAGAACAGAATGGTATGCAGAGAAGGGAGGAGGAGAGGGGGCATTTCACTCTTCATTAGAAAGCATTAGTGGAATGTGGTTTATTGCCGACTACAAGGTATTTGTGCCACTTCAGTAGGGACACTGACAGCTACACTAAGCTGACTTTGGCAACAGGTTGTGAACTATGTGCTTTGGTTTTGGGAAACCTCCAGTTTGGACCAGGCTGGTAGGCAGGTACCCTCAAAGAATACTTCTGCCATCCTGCATGGATTTGCCATCCAGATTGTGATGATGATACGGTTGAGTGTTTATGG